TGCAATCCTCGACCCAAGGTGGGGGATGGGCCCACAGGATAAATACTTTCCTTTTCTTTATCTCAGAGGACATTCTGAGGTGCATTGTACACCTCAATAAGTGTACACTCCGGAAGAACTGACCTCAATTACCTATAACTGATTAATGTGCCCTTCAGTTAGCTTTCCAAGCCCTCTATTTTGCTCCTCCCATTCTCCCACTCTTCATCTTGCAAGCTCGTCCCAAACTAAATGACCCTTGTGAAAGTCCTTATTTCAGGCTTTAATTTTGGGAGCAAACAGACTAAGACAAGTTGTCTTCAGCAAGGAGGATAGTATGAATATCCTATCTCACCATTACCAGAAGCAGAAATTGAGAAAAAAAGTTAATATAGGAGATATTACAGCATACTTGTATGTTGATGAAAAAAATCAGGCATCCAGGGGAAAAGTAATGATGGAGGAGAGAATTGCTGTGGTGATGTCCTTGAATAAGCTTCTGGCTTTAACCTTTAAGAGCACATCCATTTCCCTTCCCCAGCCAGTCCTCCAGATGTCCCTGCTCTACGAGTGACATCATTATTCACTCAGGCAGAACATCTCTAAGTTCAGGTATGGATCCTCTCACCAACAAAACCCAGTCATCTGTATTAGTTCCACAGGGCTGCTGTAACAAAGTACCACAGACTGGGGAGCTTAACCAACAGAAATTTATCATCTCACAGTTCTGGAGGCTAGAAGTCTAAAATCAAAGTGCCAGCAGTGTTGGTTCCTTCTGAGGGCTGTGAGGGAAGGATCTGTTCCAGGCCTCTCTCTCTGGCTTGAAGATGGCCATCTCCTCCCTGTCTGTCTTCACAGTGTCTTCCCTCTATGCATGTCTGTCTCCAAACTTCCACTTTTATAGGACACTAATGGTATTGGATTAGGGCCCACCCTAATGGCCCCATCTTAACTAATTACATCTGCAACACCCCTATAAGCTCACATTTGGAGGTACAGGAGATTGAGACTACAATATATGAATTTTTAGACCAGAATTCAACCCATAACAGTTGCCAAGGCATATTCAGTCATTCTTCAAAATACCTCTCCTGTACGTCTTCTTCCACTCAAGTTCAGGTCCTTGTGTGGCACACCCACACCATTTCAACAGTCTTTCTAAAATGTTTCCAGCCCTCTCCACTCCCTAGCCCATCCTTAGACAGAAATGTGAGATTGTTCTTCTTAAGCACAGTTTTCACTGTGTCACTCCCTTGCTCAACAAACGTTCAATAGCTCCCTATTGTCTATCAAATACGGTCCAAAGCATGTAACTGCTCTTCTGCAATAAGAACTAAACTTACCTTCCTTTTTTAAAAATGCCCATCTTTTTCTCCCCATTCTCTCTGTTTCAGAATTATCAGCTTATATAACTCCCTCTAGGTTTTTATCTTTCCAACCTCTGCAGCTTTACTCTGGGGGTTAAAAAGATGTTAGGAGGGTCCGGGAATGGACTAAAAGGTATGTTGGGGATGGGGCACTTGGAGCTGGAGGGACCTGCATATACAAGAGCCCAGGAACATGAACCAGCTGGGCACATTCTGGGAAATACAAGTAGGGCTGAATTTCTGGAGCGAATAGGAGGGCAGAATGGAGAAAGCACTGTGGGACCAGAGAGGGTGACCAGGACCTTGAGTGCTCTGTGGACCAGATAAATTGCTTGGAGTTTTTCCTATAAACAAAGGGTTAGGAAATGGTTTATAATCAAACTCCAAGGCAGTGAACACTTTTCTTATTCACAGCTGTATCCCCAGGGCCTAGAAGAGTGCCTGGCACATAGTAAGCTTAGTTTGGGTTGGCCCAAAAGCAGACTGAAACAAGAACTTGGGTACAGGGAGTGTGTGTGGGAAATGACCCCAGAAATCACAAATGAGGGATCAGCAAAGTGAGACAAAGAAGGAAGAAAAGTCAATAATATTAAGGATATTGTTGCACAGGTTACCCCTGTGGGCAGCTGAGCTGAATCTCCCTGAGGACCCTCTGAGGGATCATACTGAACATTTTCAGAGTTGTCCACAAAGGGCTGGAGGAATCTGCAATATTTTTGCACTAAACTTGATCCTTAGCTGGTGAGAGTTGCCCCTGGGGGTGTTAAGTCTCAGGCACTTCAGGGCCATCTGGAATGCAGGTAAGTGAGTCCCCCTGGTATCCCAGAAAACTCGTGGGACCAGAAGCAGAGTCCTGGAGCAGGAGGTGGAAAGCTGTTAGTGGGCACTAACTGTCCACCTGCAGCTGAAGGCGAAAGGAAGTGTGGGCCAGCAGATATGGCGCAGGGCAGCCACTGCGTCCACTTCCTGTGGATACCTGTTGAGGGAAGCTATGGTCTATATGCTACTTTCCTGACCTCTCTTCAAGGTCCTTGAGGACATGAACCAAACGTACTCATAGAGCCCAGGCACAGTGAAGCGCAGGGTTTCTTAAATGTTCGAGAATGAATGAGAAAAAAAGGAGGAACGAATGAGGGGGAAATATGGGTGAGTGGCAGGGGTTAATGGATTTAATGAGAACTAGATGCAAATGAATATGACTGGTCTAGTGTTGGGGTTAGCTGCGTCCTTGAACTCAACAAATAGCAGAGAGACGGCAAGACAGCAGCTGACTGAGAATCTGTGCCATCAAGAACTAAAACTTAATTTCTCTGGGCTGCTTCGCTGGGTGAGATGTATGGCCAAGTCCCAATTCCTTAGAGAAACAAAGTCTTGATACCTGCCCATCTGCTTACACCTGGGAGTATCCAGTGCTTGGGAGAGTACTTTGCAAAGTGTAAAGCTCTGTAAATAGGACATTGTGGTGTGCAGTTGGCCCTTTTAAGATGTTTAAGCCACCAGGAGCAAACTGGCAAGAGTCAGCGGAATATTTAATGTGTGTGTACTTTGATCACAGCACTTCTCTGTTGATTCTTTGGAGCATGAGTGGCAGAGCCCTGGCTGGGACTGTGATGCTGGAGGTGGAGACCCTCATAAAACAGCAGGGCCCAGGCCCGTCTGACATGGAAATTCGGGCAACCAGACCACACAACATGGCTGGGTGTGGGTGGGGAGGGCTGCCAGTCCAGCTGGCGTTCCACCCTCATTTCGCCCACTTCGGGAATGGTCACTGGAAGGAAAACAAGACAGAAACCAGCCTTCCATCAGCACCGAGGAGCTGTGTTCTCCTCATCCCCACCCCCCATTCTGGTCCCACCTCTCTCACTTCAGAGGCTCTGGCCAGGTCCAAATCCCACCCATCCTGCTTCAAGACAAGCCACAGAAAGAGTTTGCATGAAGGTCACTTTAATGATCCAGACTTAGGTCATCCTAGAGCTGTCCCTCGGGAGGGCAACAGGGAGGGCATTGGGGCAGAGAGCCTTCTCACAAGCTCTCAGTCAGCAACAAGGTTGCAGCCCACAGTGGGGAGTGGCTCAAAGAAGCCCTAAACAAGAAGAAACAAAGGATTGGAATCCGTGTGTGGGGAGGTGGCCCCCCCCTTCACCTACTCGCCCTCCCCAAATGCTTCAATAACAGCCCGATTTCAGGAAGCCCAACAGTGACGCAGCCCACCAGTGAGTGCCTGTCTGCTTGGCTCCCACAGAGAGTTCACCCTCGCTCTCTGATTTCCCTTTAGGCTGGGAGCTAGAGAATGGCAACACCTTGTTTGAATTCGTGGAAGCACCATGGCAACCCGTCCCTCACAGGTGGGTCTGTCACTTAGCTATGAGTGTATTGACCCAGCAACCAATCCAGGCTTAGGAAGCCCAGCTGCCACCTTAAGGGAGTGGGAACCAGTTTCCTAGGAGAGCATGAGGGGCTGGAAGCCACCTGAGGTGCAGGCTGCCTCCAGATGGAGTGCACGGCCAGCTAGGGGTGCTAGCTCCACTGCCACCACCCCTGTCCCCCCCCAGGACCAGGACGATCGATGCTTACAGGCCTCTCAATTTTCACTCTTGCTCTCCCAAGAATCCATTCCCCCACATGACTAGAGTGGCGTTTTAAAATCGTGTATCACATTATGACATTCCCTTCCTTGAAATTTCCCAGTTAACTCGCCACTAAGAATAAAATCCAAAGCTTTTGCCGCGACCTATGAGCCCCCATATGCTCAGTCCTGGACCCACTTCTTCAACCTGATCGTCTACCACTGACTTTCCCGCTGTTCCTCTAACAGGCCATGCTGTGCTTGCCTCAGGGCATTTGTCATTGCAGAACTCTCTGCCTAGGATGCTCTTCCTTAATATCTTCCCCCGGCTGCCACCTCTTGTAAGTTAGGTCTTAGTCCAAAAAGACTTTTGTCAATGTGGAGGAGTATGATGTTTGGAACAACCCACCCCCACTGCAGCCCTGAGACGAAGGGCAGGGGCTGTGCGGGGGAAGGGCTGAGAGTCAGGAGATGTGGGCCCAGTCTTGGCTCTGCCGTGAACCTGCTATGCAGCCTTGAGGAAGGCCCTTGCTCAGCCTGGGCCCCAGTGTTTCATCTATAAAGATAGATGGGAGTGCTGGATGGGTTTTCAATCTGGATTCTGAAGAGTTCAAACATCCCAGGGGGATAACTCAGAGCCTTGGCCAGGTGACTTGCCCTGCCCATAGTATGGAGCATGGGGGGTGCTGACCGTGAAGGCCTCTGGGCTACCTCTCCCATTTATCCAAAGGAGCTTTGCTACCGCTTGCTGCATGCGAGGGAGTGTATGGAGAAAAGGGGGATCTCTGATTTTGAAAACTGTGCAGTTTTCAACGTCTATTTTAAAATCAATGCCTAAGCCTGATCCTAGAGATCATTTCACCCTTAGAGGCTCCAGGCACCTGCATCATGCCCCCCAACCTCTCATATGGACACCCACAGGTAGTCTGAGACAGGAAAGCGGGGGTGCCCTTCAGTTGAGAAAGGAAACATCTTTTCTTCAGCTTATCTGTTCACACCCCAATACACATTCCCCCCTTCACCCAAGCCTCCCTCATTTAAAAGGTCTTTCGTGATTCCAGCCTCCCTAGGAAAAGGGGGCCCCTCACCTTGACAGGGGTGGCCGCCTCTCGTTTCAGGGCCTTCGAAACTGCTTTGGAGGTAACGCACTGATCCCTGGTCACCTTGGCCACTGGGCTCTGTGAGGAGGGAAGCCGGGAGTCAAGATGGAGCAGAAAAGGATGGCAGGGCTCCAGAGGGGAAGAGGTGGAACCCAAAGGCAGGTATTTCAAATTCTTGAGAGGACGTCTGAGTCTCACCTTGGGGAATAGGAGTCGAAGTTTCTCCTCTTGCTTGCCCCTAGAAGAGACAGGGATGACAAATGGGGCCTATGCTTGCTAGCACCCACCTCCTCTCCCTTTGCAGATGTCACTAATGACTCATGGAGTTGTTTCCTGCGGATCCCAGACAGGACCACGCAATCATTCTCACAGCGCTCTTGGAAGCTCTCACCTGCGGTTTTAATACCTACTCCCTCCCTGCTCCATCTGTCCACCAGGCAGCAGGGACTGACCACAAGGCCTCACACACCTCACTCCAGTGCTTCTGGTGGGAAAGGCTGCCTGCCCGTCTCTCAGACATGGATCTTGGGGGTGGGGTCTGCTGATGTGCTCCATCTTCTGTGTCATCGCATCCTGGGTCATGCCATCCTTCCAGAACAAACCTTCGGGGTGAAAGGATGCAGTGAATTGACACTTGGGACATTCTGACTGGTCTGCTCCAGGGACCAGAGTGAGATCAACACTCTCCCCGGGCCCAAGAAGATAAAGGATCACAATTTGTGGAGAGAATTAAGTGAGACGGCATATAAAAATTGCTTAGCACAGTGCATGGCATGTAATAAATATTGTTAGGATTAGGATTCTCTCTGCTGATTCTTTTGATGATATTGTGAGGATTAAATGAGATTAGGGATGTAAAGTGTGCTTAGAAAATGCTAAGGCGGTGATTCCCAAACTTTAGTGTGCATCAGAATCTCCTGCAAAGCTTATTAAAACACAGATTGCTGTCCCCAACCCCTAGAGTTTCTGACTCCGTAGGTCTGGGATCAAGCTCAAGAATTAGCATTTCTAACAAGTTCCCTGATCATGCTGATGCTGCTGCCCCGGAGATGCACTTTAAGAACCACTGCTGTAAGGCATTATAACCATATTAGACATCAGTAGTAGTAGTAATATGAGCTCAAGGAAGATTTCCTATCTGACTCTTCTCCCATTCATGAAACTCTGCTCTAAGGAAGGGTCATCCATCTATCTCCAAGGGACTCTCCACTCCCTTTCATCCCTCCCCTCTATTTGTCATGCAATTTGTTCTGCTTCCTACTTAGAGGCTGAGGTGAGCATGTGTTTGTGTGTGTGGTGTGTTTGTGTGGTGTGTATGTGTGTGTGTGTGTTCTCTTGGCTGAGAACTTAAGGATTCCTGGCTCTGGAAAAACTCAGATACCACCAGGGGTTAGGGCTAGTCCCAAGAAGTTGGATGCTGGCCTCTTCCAGGGGCTTCTTCTAGAAGCCTCTGCTGGACTCTTGCAGGGTTTTCAAGAGCAAATAGCCCACCCACCCATGAAGTGAGCATAACAGGAAAGTTTCAAGTAGAGACATTGAGGAAGAAAGCCTGTCCTCAGATCAAACAGCCCCTCCCTACCCTCCCACCCCCATATCTGACCTGGCCCCAGACTCTCTTCTCCATCTCTTACTTACCTTGGGGCACAATCTGCTGGAGTACAACTTGCAAGTTTTGGAAGACTGGGGTGGCAAATCCTTGGAGGGGCCAGAGCTGCCCCACTCCCACTTGGCCCTGACCATCTGAGGGCAAAATAGTGGCATCAGCAAGGAGCTTGGGCAGCAGCCCTCCAAATTCCAGTTGAAGAAAAGCATATCCCTTCCACTACCACCCCTGGGTTCTCTGGTCTCTGACCCCCTCATCAGGACCCCTCCTCCTTTCAAGACCTTCTTCTTCTCATTTTTCCTTTCCCCCATCTCCACCTGCCCTGTTCTTCAGCCCCTGTGCCTCATTCACCTTTGGCACCAACTTCCAGGTGAGAACCAAGCTTACAGGTGAAGAGCAGCCTATGGGGGTTCAGGTAGGCAAAGTTACACACATGAAATAAATAATCGAGTGAACAGGTGGTGGCATGGGAAGCAGGTGAATTGCATCTCAGAGAAGGCCGTGAAGCCTGGAGGGGATTAGAGAGGAGGCCTGGACTCCTTAGAGGAAGACGTTTTGGTATGTATAGGGTTTGAGTATCTGGATCCTGTCGTGAAAGTCACAGTTGGCCCAACTGTGCAGAGAGGAAGAAGAGGGGGTGGAAGAAAATAACCCTAATGCTATATACACCTTCCTTATTCCACGTAGATGGGGTAGGTTTGGAGGACAGTCCTGTTTTTTCTACAGTGGAATTACCATGAGTCATTATGGACAGGCCTTAAGAAAGGAAATTTCTTTCCCCAATCAAATGGATCCTACTATCAGTTTCCCGACTTTAGGAAAGAACAGAACCTCCAGCACCCTTCTGAGAAGGAAAAGAGCTTCTGGAAGGGAAGATCCTTCTCTGAGGCGGTGCTCCCAGGACTGATAGGAAAAGTGGTGACCTGAACACCCTCGGCCAGACCTACAGGGCGCCCGGCACTGTCCGTGGTGCTGAGAGGTGGCCGAAGCCTGGCACGGGGTAATCTCTGGGGGGGGCGGTTAAAAAGGGCGAGGCATCCCCACAAGGCTTGACCGTCCTTCCCCCTGACCTTTCCTGTCATTCGCCACCAGTTCGCGTCCCCCGTACAGTTCTTGGAGAGTCCCCTGCCTTGGCCTCTGAACCCAAGAACCGGGCGGGGAGGGATGGCGTCAGTCTAGGAGTTTGTGCCGCGTTCCCGACGCGCCGGGCGCGGGAATCCTGGAGTCTGCGCAGTCCGGCTCTAGCTACTCGGACTGAGTCAGCGCTGGTCTCCCCGCGGGCGCCGAGGGGAGGGTGAGAAGGAAGGATGGGCCCTTTCCCCTCCATCCTCTTTTACCCCAGCCTGGCCTTCCCCTTCTTATTGGAAATCGGATGGCAGCCACCAGGCTCTGGGGGCTTATGAAGAAGCTCTGGCTCTTCTCTCGGCCCAGCCTTCTTTCCGGAGCCGGGACCCGGATGCCCGCGGTTCCTGCCTCTACTGTGAAGGGATCCTGATCCCCTGCCGATCCTGATCCCCTGCCGATCCCTCAGCCCTGGGCATCTCTTCCCCGGCCCTTCGGCGAGTCTTCTTCTCCTGTGGCCGCACAGGCCAGTTTTACTTCCCTCTGCCCATTTGTCTTCCCGGCCTTCCCTGCCACCCCCTCCCCTGGCCCGAATCCCCAACCTTCCGGAATCCGCTTCCCTTAGGTCCAGATCCCATATGCAGAACCCCACCCCAAGCCTCCGCCTCTTTCTACGAGATGCCCTCTACGTTTATTTCTTTTCACGCCCCCAAACACATTCTTTTCCTCTTCATTTCCTAACCCTGAGGCCCCCTGACCCACTTCTCTCAGGATCGCTCTCTGGCCCTGTCCGCACCCCCCATGTTTCCTCCTGACCGTGGCCACTAGTGTCGCTGCAGCCTCCTGGGCGGCTGTTCAGCAGCAGGAAGCAGAGGAGCAGCCGGAGCGCCCCAGAGCCCCCAGGCCACAGCGGGCGCCGCATCCTGCCGGGCTCGGCGAGCTGACTCCCCACCTAAGTCGCAGAGGAGGTAGAGACCTCACCCGGAGGGGGTCAGGCGAGCTGTTGCTTCCCCCAGGCTAGCGAGGCTGGATCTGCGCAGCCCTCCCTTGGCCGCTCGGCCAATCGCGGGCTGGCCCTGTCCCTACGGATGCCTACCCAACTCCTCCTTCCCTTTACGGCCCCCTCAGCCACCCCACCCGACCCCCGGGCACCTGCTCCTATTTAAATGTAAACCAAGTCCCAACAACTAGCACTTCTACTTCCCGTCCCGTGGCTGGAGAAACTGATTGCGTGTAAGATGTGGATGTGAATTGTATCCACCTCATAGTTTTGTTGTGAGGATTAAATATGAAGAGCGACTGGACAGTAGACACTCAATGTATTTAGTCTATTTTTATTACCTTTGAGGCTCAGTTTACCCTCACGCTCCTAAAAACCTTCAAACCTACTTAGGTAGGACGTGCAAAATGTATTGCACATCTATCCACTTCTCTCCGCATGCGCTGCCGTCTCCCTAGCTCAGACCCCGGAGTCTTTTTCAACAGACCTATTACAATAACTAAGTAGCCAGCTAACTAACTGATCTCTTGCTTCCACTTTTGTTTATTTATAGGCTAGTATGTGAGCTTTCTAATCCCTAGACTGACATTTCAGTATTTTTTTCATTAAGCTTAGAATATTTATTATGAAATTTTTCAAATATTAAAAGGGAGAAGAATCTAATGACCTCTCATATACCTACCACCCAGACTTTATTATTAAGATTTTGTCACAGTTGCTTCCTTCTCTTGATGAAGTATTTAAAGGTAATTTACAGACATCATGACATTTCACTCCTAAATAATTCAATATACATCTCTTAGAATTAACGATAGTTTCCTATATAACCCCAATACCATTATGACTTCTGTGGTCGGGTGAATAACGGCCCTTAAAGATGTCCATGTTTGAACCCCTGGAACCTGTGAATAGGTTGCTTTACCTGGTAAAAGGGACTTCACAGCTGTGATTAACCTTAGAAGCTGACTGACCTCAATTATCCCGGATTTTCCAGGTGTGCCCGATATAATCACAAGGGTCTTTATAAGAGAGAAGCAGGAGGGTCCGAGTCAGTAGTGGGAAGACGTGATGTTGGAAGCAAAAGACTGGAGTGATGCAAGGAAGGGGCCACAAGCCAAGGAATGCAAACAGCCTCTAGCAGCTGGAAAAGGCAAGGAAAAGGAACACAGCCCTGCTGACATCTTGATTTTAGACTTCTGACTTCCCGAATGGTAAGATACAAAATTTGTGTTGTTTTAAGCCACTAAATTTGAGGTGATTTGTTACAGCAGCAATTGGAAGTGAATATAAAGTCTAAAAATATTTACAATTCCCTAATTTACATAATTCTCTCATACTTCCGATATGACTCCTTTATTAGATAAATGGTTTGTAAATATTTTCTCCCACTCCAAGCATTTCATTTTCATTTTCTTAATAGTGTCTTTTGAAGAGCAAAATGTTTTAATTTTGAGGAAGTCTAATTTATTAATTTTAGCTTTTATGGCTAATGCTTTCTGTGTTGGTGGAAATGTTTGCCTACCCCAAACTTACCAAGATTTTCTGTTTTCTTCCAAAAGATTGGTGATGCTGGCCTCATCAAATCAGTCAGAAAGAGTTCCCTCTTTTGTTCTGCTCTGAAAGAGTTTGTGTATGATTGATATTTCTTCTTCTTTAAGTGTTAGGGCCTGGAATTTCTTTTTTTTTTTTTAAGGATTGGCACCTGAGCTAACAACTGTTGCCAACCTTTTTTTTCTTTTCTGCTTTATCTCCCCAAACCTCCCGTACATAGTTGCAGGTCCTTCTAGCTGTGGGATGTGGGACGCCGCCTCAACGTGGCCTGACAAGCAGTGCCATGTCGGCACCCAGGATCTGCACCCTGGGCTGCCGCAGCGGAGGGCACGAACTTAACCACTCCGCCACGGAGCCAGCCCCTGGAATTTCTTTGAGAGAAAGTTTTATTACCATTTCAAGTTCTTTAGCTATTCAGACATCCTATTTCTTTTCATGTCTGTTTTGGAAACTTGAATTTTTCAAGAAATTTGTCCCTAACATTCCAGTTACCACATTTGTTAGCATAAAGATGTTCATAATATTTATTACCCTTTTAATAGCTGTAGAATTTGAAGTGATTCCACTTTTTAAATTCCCGATTGTGATAATTTGTATTTTTCCTCTTTTTACCTTTATCAGTGTAAATAGAGGTTTATCAATTTTAAAGAAGTGCCTTGTGGTTTAACTGCCTTTCCTCTATTGTTTGACCATTTTATTAATTTCCCATCTTATCATTATTTCCTTCTATTTTCTTTGGGTTTCATTTCTTCTCTTTTTCTGGCTTCTTGAGTTGGTAGCTGAGATCATTAACTTTAAATGTTTTCTTCTTTATAATAAATGCATATAAAGTTATACATTTCCCTCTAAGCATTACTTTTGTGTGTTTTTATTATTTTTGGTTACTATTTTCTAATTTTTCTTGTGACTTCTTAGACCCATGGATTATTTAGAAGGATATTGCTACTGGGGACTTTTTAGAGTTTTTTTGTTATTTATCTATATTTTAATTTCAGTGTGGTCTGAGAACATGCTCTGTATGAGTTCAGTTGTTTTGGCTTTATTGATTTTGTCTCATGGCTCAACATATACTGTATCTTGGTGAATGTTCCATGTACATGTAAAAAGAACGTGTATTCTGCAATTGTTGGTTTTAGTGTTCTATAAGTGTCAAGTAAGTCAGGTTGATTAATAATGTTCAATTTTTTCACATTTGTATTGATTTTTGTCTGCTTGATCTATCCATCATATTCAAATATATTTGTGGAATTTTCTATCTTTCCTTTAGGTTCTATCAATTTTAATTTTTTTAAACAATGTTATTCAGTGCATCCACATTTAGGATTGTGAGGTCCTTTTGAAGAATTGACCCTTTTATCATTATGAAATATCCCTCTTTATCTCTAATAATACTGCTTATCTTAAGCCTACTCTTTCTGATATTGAGATGGCCACAACAGCTTTCTGTTGGTTAGCATTTTCATGGCATATTTTTTTCCATTATTTTATTTTCAAGTTATCTCTGTCGTTATATTTAAAGTATATCTCCTGTAAACAAGATATAGTTTGATTCTGTTTATTTTTAAATCGAGACCAGCAATCTCTGCCTTTTAATTGGATTGTTTAGTTATTTGTATTTAATATAATTATTGCTATGTTTGGGGTTAATTCTGCCATTTTGTTATTTGTTTTCTATTTGACTTATCTGTTTTCTCTTCCTTTGTTTCCTCTCTCCTTTCATTTGGAATAATGAAGTAATTTTTAGTATTCAATTTTATTTTATCTATTAACCTTTTAGCTGTATCCCATTGTGTTATTTTTAGGAGGTTGCTCTAGAAATTACAGTGAAGTCTTAATTTATCACAACCACTTTAAGTTAATATTATGCCAATCACTTAAAATATATAAACCTTACAACAATAGAATTCATTTGTTCCTCCCATTGTGTAATATTGTTATATGTTTTATTTCTACATATTTTGTAAACCACACAAGACTTTTTAAATTTATTTTTGCCTTAATAAGTCAGTAAAGTTGTTAATGACATTAAGAAAAAATGGTCTTTTAGATTTACTCACATGTTTACCATTTCTGATGTATGTTCCTTATTCCTTCCTTCAGATTCCACTTTCTCTCTGGGATCATTTTCTTCCAGTTTGAAGAGCTTCCTTTGGCATTTCTTGTGCAGGCCTGCTGACAATGACCTCTCATACTTTTGTTTGTTTAAAAATATCTCCATTTCTCCTTCATTTAAAAAAATGTTGCCACTATGTATAGAATCTTGGGTCTACTTTTTTTGTTCCGCGTTTAAAGATATCGTTCTGTTGTCTTCTGGCTTCAGTGGGCTAAAAGACAGCCTTCATTTTCAGCATTGTCCCTCTGAAAAAAATGTGTCTTTTTTTCTCTGCTTTAAATATTTTCCTCCTCATTTTGGTTTTCAGCAACTGGGTTATGATGTGCCTATATGTGGCTTTTTTGTATTTATCCTGCATGGGGTCTACTTCTTTATATGTGAGTTGACGTATTTCACCATTATTGGAAAATTTTTAGCTATTATCTGTTCAAACACTTTCTGTCCCCCATGTGTCTCTCCTTGCCTTCTGAGGCTCCCATTACATATAGCTTAGACTACTTGCTATTGTCCTACAGGTCTTAGATTCTGTGTTCTGTTTTTATTTTAATCTTTTTCTCTCAGTGCTTCTGTTTGGATAATTTCTATCTACTTGATCCTTTCTTCTGCTGCATCCAGTCTGCTCTTAAACTCATTCAATGAATTTTTTATTTCAGATATTATTTTTTTATAGAATTTGAATTTTATTCTTTTTTATAGTTTCTATTTCTCTGTGGAGCTTCCCCAATTGTTTATATTTCCTTGTAAGTTATTTAACATATTTATAATAACTGTTTTTAATTCCTTGTCAGCTCTCCTATGGGTCTGCTTTTATTGATGATTTTCTCTTGATTATGGTTTACCCTTTCCTGCTTCTTTGCCCACTACTTTGTTGTTGTATCTGGACATTTGGGGTCAATGCATGGTAGACACTGTGAATTTTATTATCTTCCTTTAAAAAGTGTCAAGTTTGTTCTGGCAGGCGATTACATTTTTTGACAGAAAATCTGGAAGCCTGGTTAGGGCAGGAGTATTTCAGTTCTTCTCTTAACCCTAGACTGTATCCCTTAGGCCTGGGGCACTGTACTTATGCCTAGGATGTGGTCCTTTTGGCATTCAAGGAAAACCCCAAAGTGTTTACCAAGGCCCTCTAATTTTATGGGTCTTG